CACTGCAACAATACAGGGAGATGACTCAGCAACGTATGATTACGGTCGTACTTACACGGTAAAGTTTCCTCAAGGAGTTGCTGTTCCTACATTAGGTTACGATTTTGAGGAGAATGCCGCCGTCGCCACGTCTCCACTTGACATTCCCCTTTTATTCTGGGATTCAGCCGATATGACGTGTACCGCTACACCACCTGACTCGGTTGTAGTACAACGTACAAGGTACGGACCGGGACTTGATGACATCCGGGGCCAAGGACGCATTGGTGTTGATGCGACCAACATTTTTCATAATGAATGTTCCGCTTCTTTGGCCGGTCCACTTGCTCGTCAGACCATTGCTGCTTCGACGGCAATAAAAAACGCATTAAAACCAGAAATCCTCAACCTAGCGTCGAGAAGTGGCGTTTTTGAAAGCGCCGATCTTGCACGACCAGCTCTTTGCGAGGCTTGCGCGCAAAAACTAACAGCAGATGGCAAGATGACGGTCACGGAGTTGTTGTCATTAGTCGCTGGCGAATATTTTATTGTGGCCGATAGCTCGACAGCAAGTACCTCTAGCTCCACGCTTCGGTGTGTGATGAAAGTCGTTAGTAACAGTGGCAATATGATCACCGTTGATCTTGTAGATCCTGGTCGCAGTGCGTGTGAACTCCCCGTGACATACGAGGCTAAAGCTTGGCGTATTTCGCGTTTTGAGCTTCGTGCCCATACAATTCGAGATTTGATACCGGGACGAGAATACGCAGTTCGAGTCGTTGCTTCTAGTAGTAGCTTAGGTGAGAGTCCTCCACTAGCAACAGCCACCACGATCTCTACAATGTGACCCATCGAAGTGAAGTACATACATCTACAGTGTAAGCTCTTGTCTCTCAACAGTTTGAACATAATCACGTACGAGGAGAAATAAATAGACGCAGAAACTTTTTAGAAATGAAGATAAGTTTTTGTTCCTGCAAGCACTCAATTTATCTCAGTTACGAGCATGTACCGCAATTGTGCTGCCTAGAGGCGATGGAAAATTCAATTCTTCCCATGAGGGATGTACCAAGGGTACTAAACGCTGGCGAGAATTCCTTCAGCACCAATTCAGTTTGAGGACTGGGTGAGGAAACCCGTCGTATCACCTGCCTTTAGGCCTTGCAAACCAGATTTAGTCAAGATATTGTCGGCGAAAAATCGGCTCGACTCTGAGATACCTTTGTTGCATCAGTCAATCAAGTGTTGATTTTACAACAAGGTCGGTCGGTCTACACTGGTTGAAAAAACGCGCGCTGCGACGGGTGATTCTGCCTTCTCTCCAAGGCAGATAGAGGCATAGAAGTCTCCAGATTGTAAGTGGAAGTGACGCCAGGGCCTCTTACCGAAGTGGGACCTCAAAATTCCATGAGTGTTCGTAATGAGGGTTTTCTTTTCAATTCTTCAAATACTGATAACAGCCCTGGTGTACCCGTCGACCCTTATAACGTTCAACGCAAAAGTTGTTCACCCCTTACTCATCAAGTTGTGTCGGCGGAAGACGACATATCTGCGGCTAACTTTCGTGAGATATCTTTAAAAGTGCAGGCAATCGCCCGAAATCGAGCTCGGATGCGCTTTCTAAATTCCGGTTAAAACTTCAGTTGGCCCACTTGGGTACCAAAATGTGCTGACATTTTCATCGACCAACTCTAGCTTTATTAACATTGTGACAGATTCGAAAAAGCATCGTCTTAATTAAAGTCTTATGGATAGTGGACACTGCATATGCAAGTAGGCTACATGGTCATGTAAATTTTACCTGCCTCTGGCAATGGTATGCTGATTTAAACATCCTGGCTTTCTGCTATAGCATCGCACATCCGGAGCATGACGCTCATATGCTCTAAGTGTAAAACTTTGATTTTGCTGCGAAGTATAACTCACGCAGACCAGAACCACTTTGTCACGCGTTCAAAGATTAACCATCTATTTGTAACAACGGGTTGAAGCCTGCGGAGTTCAAGCGCAAAACCGATGAGTAAGGGCTGATTTTGCTGCAGCGTCGACCTGGAACCGCGGCTCACTGTCATTTAAGCCTTCCGAACTCTGCTTGAAGCATAAAAAAGGTGCTAGCCCTACTCGAGCCCGCGTCAAAAGCACTTCTGGCTGCCAAATCAGGCACAATTGGGCAGACCTTAACTACTTCGAAGTATGAATTTTGATATAGGTCTTGAAAGACACGCCAAAGATTACCGGTATTGTGGTCTTTGTGAATGACTTTCTGATGACCTTAGTGTCGAGTTGAGATCCGCGCACTACAGCAAACTTTAGCAAATATCTTTTGATATGCTCGACACCAGATTAGATATGTCCATCTCTGACCATCCGTAAACAGACGGTCAGACAGATCGCGTTGTTCGCATGGTAGCAGGTATCCGTCGTAGTACTTGAGCGTAAAGTACTCTCTTGTCTTCATCTCTGCCGAGAAGCACACATGCGCTTACCCACTTATGCAAATTGGGTCACCAATACATAGCATCACCAAATAGTATTGGTTTCTTCCAAAGTAGCCATATCATATGCCTTGTATGACGGGCCATTATACGTTGTGTATCAAGTGAGAAAGACTATAATATAGCAAATTCTGGTTTATGAACTCGGTGCAAGCAAGCTAATGTGCGCTTTATTGAAACGGTATCCGAGCTCCCACACTTGTTGCATTCTCAATGCTTTCAGCTGAACAGCACATGTTATGTAATAGCTCAATAATTGGTGACGCCGCCATTTTGACATACGGCACTTAACTGTCGACGCGAAGCGAAAGCACTAAAACCATCTCACTAATCCGATCCGGCTAAACCCTTACCTCAAATACATGCTTGGTAAAAGGGGATGGTCATCTTGCCGTTCTTTGTCGGTGGTTTGGTGACGGCGTCGCTGTGTACAACGACAGCTAAGAGCAAAGCGAAAAAGCACTTTAAATTTGACAAGGGCATACTTCATTGCATACCGATATGCCCTATAAACTGCGTCAAATTTCTCTGCTATATTAAATTGGCAAAAATCAGATACAATGATGCGTTAATTCTCACTGGCATATGCTTGGAATACAGCACATGTGCTATAAACAGCGTCGAATTTCTCTGCTATATTAAGCTGGCGAAAATCAGATACAATTACACGTTAATGCCCACCGGCATTAACTGGAATACAGCACATCATACAGCGAAGTTGAAGTTTCAGCTACAACATAAACGTCTGATCTGGATCGTAAAGATTCATCGGTACACTCATATCCAATTTCCTAGATTCTGCACAACATGGGCAACTATATTGCCAGGTATTTTTGATTATATAAAACACTGTATCTTGAAGAGAGTCACTAGAAAAGTGACGAGCAGCACTCCAAGTATCGCGCTCGGAGCACTCTCCCTAGTAAGAAGGGTTTCACAGTCTTTGGTGACCAAATGATTGCATCCATAAACTAGGTCAAGAGTACTGGCATGAGCTGCCGACCTTGCGTTTTACAGACATCCGGTCTAGATTCAAATATCTTTGTCGGAAGCTTGGCGGCATTCAGGTTATTAAAGCATGAACAATTCCCCATTTACCGAAAGCCTTTCTGTTTGACACAGAGAGTCTGCGCCGAATGAGGGTCATAGTATTTCATCAATTTCGCTTACTCTGTACCCTTTGTATTGACTATTGCTGTGAATTGCAATGTCAAGTAACGAGGACCGAGACAATCCCATAGACCTTCTTTCCGTGGGTTTCCTTCGATCAGAGATACAACGGTCCTGTAAAACCATTGAGGGAAGCTATTCCACTGCTCACCCCTAATGTTTTACAGCGTTTTGAATGACAGATTTACTCGCGACGATTCATGATCTCAGCTCTTAAGTTTGTACCAGCCGTCCCCTTCCGGTGATTTCACCATATTGCAAGTTTTTGCTCGCACCCCCAGGAAAATTTCCGATAGCTAAAAAAGAGCCTCTATTGAAAGTGTGAGAAAATACTTCCGGTTCTAGAGCTACGTTATTAACTCAATTCACAAACTGGATTTTCCCGCAGCGTACCTGTGGAGCTTTACTGATTTGAACGGTAGGCGTGTACTGACTCATCAGTAAGTTTCATCATGAGAAGGATGGGTCATTCCTGAAAGCATCAAGGCCCAGGCATTCTACTTGCAACTTGCAGTCATCCTTCAACATCTCCGGCTCTTGGTGGGGAGACACGACTACCAGCCGCCTCCACTTTCTACCAACTCTGGCACAGGAAACCCAGCTGACATTTGTTTAATACCGTTCTACAAGAGATACAGACGGAATACAGTTGTTCGTTCCTGATACGCATACATGCACTACGAGAATCGCGATATATAATCGCTATTCAATCACTCACTCGTCTGCATTTTGAGCTTTGATCAAGGCATTAAGCAGAACATTATTGGTTGATTCGGGCAATTCAATGTCTCACACGAAAAGTATCGAAGTTTCGCATCCGCGCCTAAAGTACAGCGGGGCTACCGTAGCTCTTACGCTTAAAGGTAGTTTAGTTATGGCCGGCGACCTTCGTTGTGACGGGTCACACGGCACCTTGCACAGAGGAAGGTTGACTTCCAAGAGTATACA